AGTAAGACTATCGTGCAGGTTGTGAAGACCTCTATTAGAGCGCAGTTCTTCGATGCCCACCACCCGTTCTCCAAAGAAACCAAAATTATTGGTATTGCACACCCCACACTGCGCAAATTTCTCGGAGGCACCCACCTGCACCCTGTTTCATTCGACTACTGAGGCTACCACTAAGAACTTATCCATTCATCCCACTCAACATGAGCATGCTGTACGTGCACCCCACGATTCCACGCCTGTCCCGTCCACATCTCATCAACCTGTACATCTGATGCAGCAGAAGACGCACGTTCACCAAGCATGTGGTTTCCAATGTTTTCCATACACTTCAGCCCCATTTTCTAAACGCCAGGAGTCGGTGCCTTGCTCCAGCAGAACAAACAGCTACTGCGGGAAGTCGATCGCGCAAGATATTCGGTATCACAAGATTTGCAACGACCATTCAATGGTGGCAGCTAAGACTTCTTATGGAACCACCGGTCTTGCTTTCCCCCTTCGGTGCAAGGGTGCGTGCGACGAACTGGAAAAAGACCTAGTAGAGAAACCATGTAATGTGAAACCGGTAATCCAGTATTACTGATCTTACACAGTTGCTTCAGACGAAGTATTCTGGGTCCTTCAGTGCAACCACCATGGGGGACCTGGTGCGTCCCTGTCTCAGACAGGCAATGGCTGGTGAATTCGCCTTCAACATGGCCCAAGGCGGATCTGTGGACAAATTCTGCTCCCGTTACAATCGGTTGTGTACCGTGAGTGAAGGTAAGCGATCGGAAGTACGTTGCTAACTGTCGTTCAAATACAACACTTGATCACACAGTTTTCAAAACCTGCACACGACAGGATTTGAGGAGGAAATCCAGAAGTGGTTCGGCAACGCGCGGCCACGACTGGCCCAGAAGATGCATGCGGATCAGCTTATTTTCACGAGTAGTTGGATAGCCTACCGCGAAGAACCATATGACCAACTTGTTCGGCCTAGTGCCAACGTTGGATGAGATAACATGTGCCATATTTGTTGCAACTCCACTATCTCTGCAAGCGGCCAGAACGTAGATGTGCAGCTATCTGCAAACATTTGGTTACCAGGCCCTAGTCGCAAGAACGGACTCAACGATTTTCACGGTTAGCCGTGAACGGATCGTTGTTACAGTTATGTTGCGTTTTTTAACAGTAAAAACGTGTTTACATCCAGTTGAACAACCTCCCAGTAAATATTTGAAAACCTTTCTCACGGTCGTTTAATCGTATAGTTCGGTAAACAAATGCTCATATAGCCGCCAAATACCCAGGTCAGGAAGGGATAAATTATGAAGCCGCTCGTTACCCGTGATATAACAGAGGACGTCATAACGTTGCTATGGCCGAAAGATGAGGTTATAGAACGGTTATTTCATGGTTTCGTGTACGGCGAAATGTCATTATCAAATAGTTAAACAACAGTCCAATAACAGTGAAATACGTTGGTTGTAGCGCCGTTATTGAATTCAAAATGCAGTTAACTAATAGGTATATTACTGTTCGGTAACCGCCAGACACTTCATCAGTCGGTTATTTAACATACAAACACGGCTTCCAGTTGTTTTTTAATCTCAAGTTGATCACCAAAAGCGGTTAAATGGTGGTTCTCGTGGTGCAGTTAACCACCAACTAACGATCTTGGGTAGTTATCAAACATTCATATAACAGGAAAGCAAGGTTTTCTCAACCGCCTATTCTGTTAAGCCCATCTGTTCCCCAACCTGTAGAGTAGGGCCCGGATGACATCAATTCAGAAGTACTGTGGATGGTTGCATGCATTCTAATTCAAATTTTTCCGATTTCTGTAACAGTTTTCTTGAAGAAAAAGATGTTTCATGTAACTGGAACTCAGCTATGATCAACTCACTCAGCAGAGTAGCCGCATAAATCCGGCCTCTAATCACGGACCATTTGGTCTCATATCTGGCTGCTACGAATAGGTTTTAAGGTATAAAATGGAAAACGTTAAATAGAAAATAAACTTTTTGTAGCGGGTGTTTGCAAAGAATCCTCCTATCCATGAGGCCTATAGCGTTATTTGACGAAACCACAGGAAGTTGAAATATGAGGTAAAGTTAATGCCCAAGAACATTCGATTCAGTGAACAATCGACCCGCTGAAAACCGAAAGCTATTCATACTTCCCAGACTTCGAGATGGTAGGGGCTGTTTTCAACAGGAATGACTGTGTATGTAGTAAGAAAAAGGTCTAGATCTGCTCTACGGCGCGCCCACGCTGATGCTTTTCAGAGATCCGTACTTAACAACTCTCTCTTTTCAACAGTTATATCAGATTCAGTAAGAAATTCGGACTGTCTATTTTTGAGAACGACTTTCAGTGGGTTTTTCGGTGGAGTGTAAAATGGGATTCATCCCCAAGACATACCAGCTGGTATGTCAAGAACAATTGGGTAAGTGTCACACGCTTTTTTTGTGCTAGGTTAGAGTCTCCCAGCAGTTTCGAACCCAGTACACAGCGTCATGCAGTTGGGGTGAATGCAGCTGGTACGAACTTTCAACTTTGCATTAACTACCGGCTGGAAACTCAGAAGTTTGCATGTCATTATAGGTCCCATAGTGAGACCCAGCTTGAAAATATTAGATGAAAGACGTGGCATCACTAGGGAAATACGAACGGATCTTCACAAGGTGCTTCGATGATTCAGGGGCTTGGTGTAGGAAGATCGTCCCAACAGGCCCGGCTCTTTCGTGCTGATTTTGGGGATATATTAAATATGTATCGGTTTCTAACAATTCTAGGTCGCTCTAGTCTCTCCAACGAACTTGGATTCCTTAGCTTCATGGACGTGTTACAGTGGATAAGAAAGTACCACAGCTAAGGAGAAACTTGCGTCTCTCCGCAGAACAGAACAAATTGCTATCTGAACTGGTGGTATCAACAACACAATAATTGGTAGTGCAAAATAGACGCCTGCTGAAGTAAGTCCTTGCGGAATACAGTTAAGCACTTCGTGGTAAGCCAAACACCTTTCGCACATTGACACATTGTTACTAACCTATTTTCGCTATATCCTCACTGCTTGAACTACCAGTGAGAGGAATGAGCAATCTTTCTGTAAAATCCTTTAATAATCCGGAGTCGACCATTCAGAAAGCAGTCGGAGCTCCAGGAACTATACCTCTAGCTCCTGATTTAAATACTGGTCAACAGTGGCTTCTTGCTGTCAGTTGTTGCGCTGCGTCCTTATCCTGTCCATGTATCCTAAACTTGAAACCATCTATCCCACCATAAAACCCCTGGCATTTTGTTCACTTGTGATTTCTATACGATAAGTAACCATCGGGGCAGAAGGAATTGTCTGAACAGAAGCCGAAAAAGTGATGAAAGAAGGAAATCAGTTTAACGGATATGCAAATAGTGTGGTTAATGATCAATTAAAAAGAGCGTCTGTATCCGTGACCAGAGCCACTATAGTAATAAAATGTTAGGTTACTCAAAATGTTTCCACCATGGATGACATAAGAATAGTGTTTCAGAAGAGAAGTAATTTGTAATGTCCACCTCTGGATAGACAGAACCAGGAGCTGTGGTTATCCCACTGATGCCTGTACAGAACAGAATGTCAGGGGACTTTACTCCGTGAAGCACAGGAGGAGAGGAATCATGTCACAAAGAAACCTGGAGGAATATGCAGCACATTGGCGGGGCATGCACTATACAAGGGACACAGGATGAATTTGGAAAATTTCAGGTTTCCGGAGCTTGGACTACGATTCACACTAAACTGATTGACGGTCGAGGAACTGCAGATTGCCAGGCATCCCATTGTGGATAGAATGGGGTATAGAATCGGGAAGCATACCGCGTGAAGTTTTAGACAGCCTTAGTTAACGTGACAGTATGAGATTATCGGTCAGGAGGAAACAGCAAGAGTGGATTCAGCCTGCAGCGCAAATTTCAAGTGACAAACCCACTCATAACCGAATAGTCATAGCATATACTGACCGAAAAAATCCTGTAAACGGTTCTCGGGAGGAATCATCAACTGAAGCCCCGTGACCTAGAACGACGCAGCTTTGAACCCTACCAATCGTGTGCCAACCATTTGACGATGAGAACTTTTTAGCACTTTAAACTTTTCAACACTGACTTAGGACGTTTGTTGTTCCCCTAGTAAAGTGTAAACTCATTCAACTAACTTGACGGAGTTTTGGTACGAAGTACCACTTAACATTAGTTGATTGACTGCCATTAATGGTTTGCCAAATTTTCTGGGTCGATAACTTGTCCACCAGTTCGATCAACAACTACAAAGTACTTTCCATTGAAATGTAGCACCGAGTTTACCTCAGAGACTGCTGAAACGCGTGACGCATCAAACCAATTGTCAACAACTGTTTCACCACCGAACACTTCTTTGGTGACACTGATAGATGCATCCAAATTACTGTTCTTGCTTCTTGAAGTTTTGCGGAATATATCAACTAATGTTGAGCTCGTCTAATTTCGGTGTCGGAACTCAAGCCAACAGGCATCTTTTTCATCTGGCCATAAGATAAAATCAAATTATTGGGAAGGCGCATGTTTTCTCAAAGCAAACTTGCGTGAAAATTGCTTGTTACAACTGAAATGGAACACCAACTCTGAAGCAATGATTGATCTGATTCATCGCCCAGACATAATGTCCCCGTGCTAGTAGAAGGCTTGGGTTGATGCTTCCTGTACAGATTTGTCGCCTATCCTAATTAGCACCCACCCCTAATAAGATGGCTGTTACCGGTCACTAAATGGTAGCTTTAATGGTTCTACTTTTGTTCATCATCACCATTAACATCATCGAAAGAAACGCCAACGAGAAACACTGATGCGCAGTACACAGATTCTACAATTTAACCAGTACCCAACTGTCGACCATACTCCATTAACACACCATACCTTAGTACACAATGAGCTTGCAAATTGGAAACAATCAAATCTCTTTATTCCAGGTTGGAGACAAGTTTGACCATCGTGTCGGTTACCTGGAATTCAACGTCGTTCATGTAGTTTTTAATGTAGGGAAGAACCGAGGAGAAACGGACAAGGGGCTGAGATGAAAGATGAAGAACAATATCTATCTTTCCGTTGGTTAGCTATCGCCGAACAGCAAACCAATCTGTTGACTTTATCGTGTTTTCCCGCCTATCAGCTGGCCAGTAATCACATTTAGTCCTCGACCACAGACGCAGTTTGGATGACAGTATGATGGCTCCATGTTGATAATGATATCATGAGGTTTCTGATTTGGTAACCACATACGATCCATTCCGCTCGCAAGGATATTGAACATAGCACGCTTTTCCAGATCCGGATAATATTCTGGCGCTCCCGGCTGGCTAATCACTACTGGGCCAACCAGTTCTGCCATTCGTGTAATGGAGTACTCTAGAATATGTGGTCGAATGGTGATGTATGCTACAGGCCATCTTTCACCACGCCGCTCACGTAATTGATTGAATTTACAGATATTGTAGCGTCGAGTCAAGAAGATCACATTTCGCAATATAAATCTTGCAAGATGGCGTTGGTCGATGTCGGTAATTAGATGCAGGTCGTGGTAGATACACTTGTTAAACTTGTTGAACTTTCTGGTTATTTTCGGTCGTACCGGTTCAGCGCAGCTGTAGTATTTTTGTATTAATGGTTGGATCATATCATTCGCCTTATCCTTTGCTCGTTTGAACCGGGAAGTGGTGTCCTCTCCTTGCTCAGCGTGCTGACGCAGTATAGTGCAATATAACTCCTCTTCGATCACAAAACCATAGGGATGCAGTGGTCCAATCAGTAGTACTTTGGATGTAATTTGTGCAGATTTTGGCGAAAGAGCCAACAGTGGGGCGGGAAGTCGTCTAAGCAAGTCCAAAATAGCGTAAAATATCACCACTGGCTTCATACGCTCGAGAACTGCTCTAATGTCAGACTCTGAGATACAGTTGAGTAGTATGCGGTCAACAAGCGCTTTGACCATTTGCGGTGCTGGAGCTTCCGCTTCAATGAAACTTCGTCCGTTAGCCAGTTCGATATCGTGTTTCTCACGCAAAATAATCATCGGTACACCAAAAAATATTGGGATAGCAATACGTCTATCATCTTTGTTGATAAGGCTGTCACTATACGGCGTTATGAGATGTTTCTCGAATGCCATCATAGGCATATCCGAAATATGTAGTTCTGACTCTTGGGATAAACTGGCCTCAGTCGAAATGGTACTTTGTGAATACATTGTTAAAAGTGAATGGAGGACAAGGTTGACTTGAATACACTTTGATCGACTTCTGTCACGTTGTCACGTGATCAGCTGAAATGATTACGCGCGTGACCACGATCAGTCTGTCGACACGGCTAGAGGGCTGGTACGTTTGTCTTTTCGTCAAAATTCCTCGTAATGACTGATTGGAAAGTTGGTCAGTTTCGGTGTACTGAGGAGCATGGGTTCACAGTATGGCATGGATAATATTAGTGCACACACTGCAAATACTGGGTAAAAACTACACATCGAAGACTAGTATTGAACGCACTAATCCCTAGCTATTGAACTAGTCTGTACTTCCGGGGGTTGAGTTGGCATCTCTCAGGAGGCCAATCCAATTGCTGAACTTGCTGACTTCGTTAACAAACGTTAATTTTCACATATATCAGGGGCAGCAGTTTGAAGAAAGAATCATAGATGCGAGTTCAACTATTTTTCAAAGAGCTACTTATAAGGTTGATGAAGCTTTTCAAGTTCCTACTCCTGGTTTCATTTGAGTCCTTTGATGAAACCAAATTAGTATGTGAATGAGTAAACTTCACGAGCCCAAGTTTTGTTCAGCTGTACATAATTAACCTTTCTAACCTGCTTATTACTCAGATAAACCTCTCGGCAAATTTGGTCTTGACGATTTCGTGCCTGTCGCTGTATTTAAGAGTTAAGATTATCAGTTGGACAAAGAATTCAACCAAATAAAGAGAGGGTATTATTTCAGTTATCTGGGGAAATTTCCTCTTTTCAAATAAAATAGTTTTCCCACTATCATCATCAGGATCACCACCACTACCACTGTTGTTGTCTCGTTATAGTCAAGGTCAGAGGCATCATCACTATTATCATCGTTATTGACAAAAGAAACAAAAGTCCATTCTCTCTACGCTCAATTCGTGAGCCTGAAGAAGGACAAAAGCGCCAAATTGAATGAACTTTTTGGAAAGTACTACGCTCTTTTTCAGCTTTAAGTTCTTATTGATATTTGATAATCAGAATGTTTTGAATAGCAAATCAGTAACTCAGACAGCCATCTTCACTCCCTCAATTTTCTCCTCTGAAGTACCGAAATTCGTCTACAACGAGGTGTTTCTGCCCACCTGCCAACTTCTGACGTAATAAACTGCTGGAGTTTCGGTCTAATGTACAAATGTCCTTGGTGGTGGTTGTGATTGAGAGACAGTTAAAAGCATCAAAATGATCTACGTTTTTTTACTACACTGCAGGTACCATAAGTCTATGACTGACTATTGCCGTTGCTAAGTTAGAGACGATGGTAGTGGAGGTCACATTGTTTTAGTCAAATCGGTGTGCCTTCTGCTACATCAGACTGAACAAACTCGGAAGCGATACAACTCATCAACCAATCTCCGAACGACCATTTGCTGTTTTTTTGTCAAGGTGCGGGTGATCAGCATGGGGGCTTAATCACTATCCATGCTACTTGAACAAGCAACTCGTTATATATTTCCAACCTGACCTCTGTCAAATCAAGCTATTCAGCCCACAACAGCAGAAGAACGGCTTGTTGGATAATTGATGGAATGCAGCTCACAAAATGAATCTGTAGACCATATTGATTTAGTGAGTTTCAAGTCATGTTAATTTGTTTTCACCGCAATTTATCATGTCTATATTTGCCATAAAATTGGACCTAATCGTGGACCAGGGGATTTAACGGGTTCAACGATTGTGTAACTAACTGCTAAACAGTCTTCATAACACGGAATCTGAATACACTGACGTTGCGCCGATGAGTCTGTGCCTTTTATCGCTGTCATAGTCAGTAAAACACCCATAGCATTTTATAGCCCTTGGGTTGACTAACGGATAGATGACACCCCAGTTAGCCACCATATATTACCAACGAAGTTGCAGCGCTACCTTATGCAGAAACTTATGCGGAGTGCCTGTCTAGTAGACATAAAAGTAACTCTGTAAAGAACTGTATATTCAGCCAAGTTCAGGATAGTTTTGGGTCCAAACATCCGCAATATTTAGATATCCCGCTCAAATTATGAGAGGCTAGAGCAATGATATACTAGTTTGGTGAACTCTCCCTCAAATCACATGTTTATTTCATTCAAAGCAATGAAGCGAATCTGAATCACTTCTGCATGGTTGTTGGGTTTGTGGATAGGTCCACACTGTGGACTTGCGTCTTATGACCTAAGTATTCTGCTTCATTCCTCTGACCCATTTTGTGATGCTTTGTTTTTGATCACCTTAGGCTTAAATTTTTCAAGCTGTATGGAGCGCCTGATCTTTGTTGAGCACCATCAACAATATCAGTTCACAAGGAACGAGTTGAACGAGGACAAACTAAAACACCTGAAATACATCGAAGGTTTGGTGCACCAATACGACACAGCGCAGAGTCCCAGTTGGTCAGCTGGTAGGGTATCTCTTTGGCAAGTGAGAGGTTGGTGGTGGTTTGCTACCAACTTCGAACGGTTTGTGTGATTGAAATTCGGGCTACAAGAATGATAACTATTTACATTATTAAAGACCATTATAAATCAGATCGCAAACTAGTTACACCCGGTGACTGTTTGGCATCGTAATCTCACCAATCGTAGGGAGCTTTATTCCGGTGCCTGTCGCAAACGAAAATAGAGGCCTTTTAGTGCCTGTGCTTTGGTAAAATGAAGCACAAGAAAAGAAAGGCATCCATTAATTTTGGTGCAATCATTTCCAATTTTACTGTCATTGAACGAGACACTTTTGATCACGACTAACCAGAAAGCGGTCGATTGGAGTCAGCCATTTGAATACCAGTGTGTCCAATAGTTGTACCAAGGACTCAGGACCCAATAATCTGACAAATAGATCAATAGCCAACCTGAATACACTATTGATAAGGACGTGCTTCGGGCTACCAAAGTATTGGGGTTGGACAAATCTCTGGGATGCCTCATACTCAAAGGATATTCAGCTGACACATAGATTCGAAAAGGTTGTGGAATGGAGGCTCAGAATCACTTTTGCGACAAAAACTACCCGATGAAATCCGCTTATGTGCACCCATACACTAAAGGTCGGCGTGTATGCTGCTTACAAATAAAGAAGAGAACTTACATCTATAATATCTACTGTCAGTTTGGACAGTATAGGGACACTATTTACCGGATAACTCATGAATGTCTACAATTGTGATGGATACATGGTCCATAAAGTAGTCAGAATGCCACTCAAGTGACAGAGTGTCACTCAAGTTGGAACATATATGCAAATCTGTGGTGGCTTCTAGAAGAAGGACCCAAAGTAAATAAAGGAACTTTCTGCTCCGCTGATGATATTGGCGATACGGTCTCTCGAGAGCGGTTTGGCGCGGTGGAGCACACTGTCATCAATATACTCAATACTTTGTTTCCTCTTCGTTTGGAAATTTTTTGTAAGAAACACGTACGTTATTGTTTTGGCCACTAAAAGCTTGGATTACACTTTATAATGGCCATTATACTAATCTGAAGGAATCAAATGAAAACAACCACAAGACAGATGTAGTCACTGTAAAAGTGGGTTTCGCTGTATTTTTGCATTGTTATGTAATATCATCGTTTTACTACACCTCTATACGGAAGGTGCGGCAGTGTCCACCGTAATCTGATAGTTCGGACGGTATCAACTTTTGAAGTTATAGGTTAGTCCATAAGTCTGATTATGGTTTGATTTTACTGAAGCCATGGTATCCCATCCAATCTCGTCATAACACCTTGCAGAATGTTACTTTACTTGTCAGTCTAGTTTCCCTGGGTTCCTGATGGGAGGAGATAAGGGACAACCCGAATTAGCACACTTGCTTGTTAAAAAATTGTAACTATCTTGTCCCACAGCTTTGGTCACTTGACTGATTTTGAATTTGTGACGTTAGTTCACTAGAAATCAAACCTTATCTATGCAGATGAAGCCAGCAACAAAACTCATTAATCAAACTTCTTTTCTCACACAGGAAAGGGAAAGCCCGACTGATGTTACCAAAGTATTTCTTTCCCAGGAGAAACAACAGATAATACCGACCTTGGTCGATACTTTAATTCGAGATTTTAGAAGTACTCAAGCATCAATCGATGAGCCGTCCTGTTTCGAGTATCCCAACCCTCCACCAGTTGAATGCTCCTTGCCAGCGAATATTGCAGATCTTACGAGTCAACTCCCATTTCTATCCGGTTGTTTGGGTCTTGTAACTTCCAGTGGAGGAAATACACCAAATATCGAATCCGTAAGTAAAAGTGTTCATTTTCACATTTGCCGAAGATTTTTGTTGGAGAACGGCAAGGTGGTAGGCTGGAAGTGGTTTCTGAAAATCTTCAATAATAGTAGTACATGTCATGTCGCAAAAGACACGGATGGAATTAAAAATTCCCCTAAGTTACGTACGTACTGCGCCTATTGGATGCTCAGATGTCTGTTCCATCCTCGCCTAGATTAGGAACCCAAAGTGAACTGTGAATAATAGTTCTGTGTCATGTATTCGTTTTTGTTCACATAAAACCACGCTCCAGAGTTGACGCATTCACCTCCCTTCCTAGTAGGGACAACTTAATCGCAATGTCATGTTGATCCAGCAAACAAACATGACAAGTTACTAATTAGTACTTGAATTTCCACTGCGTAGTTTGCCGATTCACTTTGGAGTTCGTTATCCTCAGTTGAACTAAGTACAATGAAAGAGTTTGTTACCCCTTAATCACAACACCAGCATGGATATTAATCTCCAGAAAAACTTCTAGTTAACCGAATGGCAAACACAACAAGAGCAATCACTGTCAAAGAAAGAAAGAAAGCGTTCAGCTGTAGCACCTTTCCGGTGCCTAGCTGCCACGGCACCCAAAGGAAGCACGAGGGCTGGGATATTGCCCGGTTGCCCAAGCCTAGACAGGGGAAGTCGTGTGGCGGAGGTCGGATTCGAGCCACGGACCTTTCGGTGAGTAAATTCGCACTCTAACTACTTGGGCCATCTCGCCA